CGGTGTGGGGGAGCCCCCCGGGTCGTTTGGGGGTGTCATGGGGGGGAGAGGCCCCCTCTGGGCGTGGGGGGGGGGGCTCCGGAGCGGGGGGAGCTGGGCCTGGGCAGCCGCGGCTGCGGGACCGCCCGGGGGAGGCTCCGCACCCCGGGGGGGCGGCGGGGAACGGCGGCGTTGGAACGGGGGGCGGCGGGGAAGGGGCTGCGCACCCCCGGCCCGGGCCCGGCGAGCGCCCACCGGCGAGCGGGAGGGACGGAACGAGGGAAGGGAGGGAGGGAGCCGGGCCGGGCGGCGCCGCGCAGGAGCCCGGCTGTGTTTGCATCGGGGAGGCAATTAAGAGAAATTAGTATAATGGCATCTGCGAGCCTGAAGTTTTTTGGTGGTTTTTGGTGTTTTTTGTTTTTTTTTGAGGGGGAGTTGGGGTTTTTTTGTGTGGTTTTTTTTTTTTGTGTGTGTGTTGTTTTGTTGTTGTTGTTATTATTGCCGTTGTTTTGGTGTCGGGTTTTTTTTTGTTGTTGTTGTCGCGGTGGTTTTTTTCCCTCACCGTGCGATCGAGTTTAAAATAATTAAAACAAAAGGCAAGAGAGGGAAATGACATCAATCGGGGGTGGGGGGGGAGAGAACTGCCCGTCCACCCCTCCGCGCGCGCGGCGCCCCGCGCCGCTGCCTCCCCCGCCGGAGGGGAGGCCGCTCCGCCTGGCTGGGCGCGCACCGAGGGGCGGCAGCCAGCGCTGCCTGTCAGCTGCGGAGCGCCTCGCCTGCTCCGGAAGGAGCCGCGGCAGCCGCCGGTCCCTGCCGGCCCTCCCCGCCGGCAGCGGGAGCCGCGGCCGCGCTGGCGCCGGGGCCGCAGCGGCGCTCGCTCGCTCGTTCCGGCGGAGGGAGCGGCGGGGCGGGCGGGGCGTGTGGGGGGGGGGAGCCGTGACTGGCAGCGGAGGCGGCCAATGAGGGAGCGCAGCCGCCGTGAGTGGCAGCGGCGGCGGCCAATGGGAGCGCGCGGGGGGCGGGCGCGCGAGGCCGCGGGACGGGCGCATGCAGGGATAAACAGAGGGAATTGGGGCGGGGGGCGGCGGCGGGACCAGGATTGGGGTTTGGAGTGGGATCTGGAGCAGTCGTCTTTCCACAAACGGGCTGGGTGCTAGCGGGGTCACTGCCTCGGTTCGGCTGCACAGGGATGAACGCTTGGCTGACTCCGGAACGGGAGCGGGAGACGGGGAGCTCCCGCACCCCCACGGCCTGTCGTGGCCTTCGCTTCCTCATCCAGAATTTTATGGAGAGCGATAAGCCTGGGATCAGACAAGGCTTTAGAAAAGGAGATATCTATGCACCTGTCTCTGTCTTGATATGGATGGTGAACACGTATTTTACCAGCAGTTTTTCCACGAACATTTAAAATTCACATGAAACCTGCTAGGTTATAGTCCTGGGTTGGCCTCGATGATCTCAGAGGTCTTCTCCAACCTAACTGATTCAGTAATTCTTTCATACTTTACTTTTTCCAGTATATATAAAAAAATATTCAAAACAAATACAGTAAACTAAAGGTTTTGTTGGTTTTTGTAGGCGAGGTTTTTTTGTTTGTTTATTTTGATTTTTTTTTTTTAAATACAGCTCTCTGTATTTCCACAAATGCGTAGAAAATTGTATGGCTGAAAATATAACTTCACGGATGGGTATTTGCATTGTA